TCTCGCATTAACCAGTTAGGTACCATAGATAAAAGGAGTTATGGTTATACGAATAGATATGTACCGGTAGCCAATGGATTCTTCCTACAGAACTTATATTGTATTTTCCATATCGGTCGCTCTAGGTCACTGTGACTGCGCGATTCTTTCCCGATGATTCTCTCCAACCGTTCAAGCGTGAAGCAACAGGAAATGAATCACCATTGTGATGAAGATTCTTTATCTAAAGCCAGAATAGGAAACTGCTCACTGTACAACACTGTATATGGTCTTGTCTGTTACAGTTGAACGGTAGATATGATTAAACATATACTTCGTAAAAATCTATCATCTCAAGATTAGCAATAGTTTAATCTATGGTTATCGTTTATCATTCATCTCAGTCAATGATTCAATATCTTACTAATATTATAAATGTGAAAGTTTGTGTGTTTGAAGTTCAATCACGCATGAACCACTGGACGGATTGGGCTGAAATTTGGCATGATGATAGCTCACATTCCCGATTAACATGGGCATATTCTTATCTAAAAAATCCTTTTCGGTCTCCGCCCCAGTGGCTCTGTAATTCCCCATGTTAACCTTATGAGTATTCATATTTAAAGGGAATTAAAGAATTTAGTCGGCTGTTTCGACTAAAAAAGTTGGTTCTATGATATGGAAAAGCATTAAAAAGCTATAAGATTTACCAACAGGGTGCAGCACTATATTTTTTTTGCATTTATGATAACAGCAACAAAAAACTGATTCGCAATGAGAACTGTCAAAGTAGGATTGTTTACAGTTATGTTTATGTTTTTCATTTCATAAATAATTTGTGATATTTTGCGAATTGTTGATAATTTATTTTTCTCTGTTGTTTAGGTGCAGTGGTAGAACATTATGGCTATGGTAGATGTGTAATACTATAGAATACTGTAAATTTAAAAAAGCAAATTTTATCAAACTGTGTCCTCCCTTATTGCAAACGCAAAGCTTGAGTATAACTGCAATAAGCATTTTATACTTATTATTCAACCCTGTACGAAGGACGGGTACTCTGCTAGTATAGTATAATACTGGAGCCACAGCTGGTTTTTACTACAGTAGAGTCGGTTATAACATAAACCTAGATGATACATTTTGTGGAAACATATAAAAAGTTCTGTTGACTGGCTCTCAAAATTGAATCGCTGAAATTGAGGTAACAACAGGTTTTATGACCTTCATAAAAGGTTACTATTTTTTAAAGCGTTCTGAGGACTTGGCATCTTATGTAATGCCTTTTCAACTTACGAATAAAAATTATGGAAAAGTTGTCTTGTCATTACTCATTGATTGGAATAAGTTTTGGAACACTATTTTAACATAACACTTTGCTTATTTTTAAAGTATTTAGGGAAACGTTGTTAGTATTTTTAATGAAAATATAAACTAATAGCATCAGAATCTTACTAAATATTGTTATAGATTAATTACCATCAATTAGTTACAGAGACTAATAATAAAACATGAAACTATTGTCACAATTGAAATGTTGTGTTTAACGAATTGATAGTGTGTATTATGACCATCATGCCTAGTACTTCATCTGGTTTAAAACTTATGTTGAATGTAAACTTAAGGGGGTCAAAGGTCATAGTGTGTCCTATTCGCTTTTAGAGGTTAGCAGTAAACAAGAGGAGGGGAAGATTTTATGGAAACTGCTACAAAAGGGCAAAGGTTAACTTTTCTGCCTGAGCAAAGATTGCAGTGTAAAAACAACACGATATGACATGCACATTTTTAACAGAGAAATTTAGGCTGAGGTAAAATCTGAACACTACTCATCATGTGCATGTGGCACAAATGTTTGAAATTGCTTAGAATCACTTAGGCTAAGTAAAATATTGTGTATCACATATTGTTTGCACCACTTTATTGTAAAAGCAGTGTCTTGATTTTAGGTACTTCTTTGATCTGTGGTGTTAGATACCGGATATATTTAGAGATAGAGATGAAATAGTTAACTTACTGTTAACTGGGCTTAAACCTTTTTGTGCTACAGAAGTACTGTATGTTTACGGTCTATGCTACCATCCTGAACCTACAGTTCTACAGCGTAGTTGAATAGACACTACTCGTTCACACTGTGTACTGAATTGTAGTAGCCTACGTAGTATCAATATGGTATAGTGTACATCGCATATCATGCTGTATAGGCCTATATGTGAGTATGCTGCATAATAAATACGTAAACTTTGGGAATTTGTAACAGTAGGTGACAGCCAAAGTATTTAAATGTTATCTGTAGTCCGTTCTCCTACATAATAAGTAGGCTACTGTACCTACTAAAAAGTAGCCTGTGATTGAAACTTATGATACAATTCAGCGCAGCGTTAACTTAAGTTCAACAGGCGGATCCGTCCATTTGTCGCAAAAATTGGCTGTCTTTGTGCCATCTTGATTGGTGTTGCGCGAACCTCCATAAAGTGTGCTCTAGTAGTTGTTACTCTTTTCACTCTAAAACATTCTCCTTAAGTAACTGTTTGATTTACCTACGTACATAAATTAAATAGAATCATTTTAATGTTATAAGTTAAGAGCTGGTATACCTGTTATCCGGGGTTTGCAACGCAGGGGGAGTAACGTATGTAAAAGATACCGGTAATAATAAATAGGCGTACTTAATATGCTGTTCTTTAGATCTTCTATATGAAATAGTTCCCTTCACCACTAAAATGGTTAGGTATCTATATTTAATATCTTAGAAAGCCATAAAAGTTCCAACTGACATTAAATTTGAAATCACCTCAATTGAGAGGAGCGAAGCGAAGCTCTTTGGGATTGACTTCAATGCACACTTTAACACTAACTCAATGTCGGCTGAACACATTTTAGCCAAACTTACCAAGGTTGTTTTGTCAAATATTCGGAAGGGTTAGACAGAACCAATTTCAATTTTTGATAGGTTTCCTAATGCCTATATAGCCTAATTTAAAAGTAACTCAAAGTTGTTGTACTAAATTGGCCTTGGGTTGCCATGATGGTTACAAAATAACAACGTAAATGTAAACAAAACAAAGAATCCTAGCATTAAAATCAAGCCACGACCTAAACACAGAACAAAAAAAAATCAGGTGATGACCACGACTGATCAAACCTACAGAGAAAGTCTCATTTAAGCCGCAAATTTGAAACGACCACTGTAGGTCTGTGTAAAATAGGGCCTACTGCTATTTTACAGATTTGATTTACGTAGCTAAATAAGGTAGGCAATAACAAATAACATTTAAACTTATATTACGTTATTGGGAAATAAAACAACTTATATCTGACATGATTAGGCCTAAGAGAATATTTTAGAAAATATATTTGTCCAATCAACAAATGCAAATCGTTTAGTCTGGAGGTTTGTTTGTTGAGGTGGCACTGGTGGCAATATTTTTATATAGGCCTACATTTAATTTTACAGCCAATTACCTTTCTATTAAAATTTTTAATGGATATGGAAAATGACGTGATCAAAAGTAGAAAAAAAAACTTCATGGGATTATGGTAGTAGCCTATAGGTAGGCCTATAAATAAATTCCTTCAAACTAAAAATATCTTTTTAGGGTTGGGGTCACTTTGAATCAACATGTGTAAAAACCGACAATCGAAAATTTGTGATGTAACTTATTTGAATTTGATCCACCCGATGTGTGGTAAACTATTTTGAAGAATGCCTGATAACTTATGCCATAGAGCAATTTTGTTCGTTACATTATTGTTGAAGGCAAATGAAAACAAAAATGCCACAAAAAATAAGGTTTTTTGACACATGTTATCAATTTTTCATTAGTTTCTGAGTTATTTCGTCAATAAAATAAAAAAATTCCTACATTAGTAATAAACAGACCTATTACTTGCAATATGTATAAAACATAAACTAACAACTTTGTGTAGTATAATGAATAAATAATACCTAACTTATAAAGAGAAATTTTGCATTTTGTACACCGTCTAGGTAACTGTCTATGTCTTCTAAACTTAACTCTACTAGATATTTTTTTAATTCTGATTTGAATTTTGTTAAGCTCTGAATTTCAAGTAATTTTTTCGGTAGGGCCTGGTACAATTTCATTCCCATGTAATCTGGTTTGTGTTCAAATTTTGTGAGTTTGTGTTGGACTGCATGTGTGCCCTTTGTTCGTGTGTTGTAAGTGTGATTTGTAAAAGTTGGTTTAATGTTCTGTGATTTTATATAGCAAACTGATTCATAGATATAAAGTGAAGGGACTGTGTGTACTCGCCTAGCAATCAAAAGGTTACCGGTTCGATCTTGAGAAAGGGCAGTTGGAGTCATTTAAAACATGGCTCTTGTAGATTGAATAATTATTGGGGCTTGTTTTTGTTTCAGTAATCGTGTTAAGGACAGTGTAGAAGAAATTAATTTACAAAACTCAATAGGGAGTGTCAACGGAAGCACAGAAGGTGAACAGAATGGCATCAAAATAAAAACAGAGGAGGAGTCAAACGACGACATAGAAATGGAAACTTCACCGTCGGAAGAGAGGAACGGCCACACCAATGGTTACCAGAATGGTACGTCACACGAGGATGCGGTAGAAGACATGGGTGAGTGGAAATTTCATCAGTAGTTACATTGTTTGTTACATTTTTGTTATTTCTTTTTGTTTTCCACGACAACACTACAAATTTTCATGTTAACACACTCTCTCCCAACCCTCCCACTCCTCTGTATGTGTGGTCTACCATGACGTAGCAGTGAATTTGTTAAGGAATTTTTTTAGAGAGTAATAAATGTAGCAGTATACACGCGCATGACCCCGCCCAGCTGTATCGAACTACCCCAACCCACCTCCTACCATCCAAAACCTCCCTAGCGGCACATCCATCTGTAAATATTTTCCTACACAAACGCGTGTCGAGTGGACTATTTAATATTTATAATATTCTTAGCAATAACTGTGTTTGTGAGATCTTAATGTGCTAAACAAGACTTAAGCTTAATAAACCAGACATGAGCCTAGGCCTACCTAATAAAAGTAATTTTATATCCTTGGCCGCCTGTATACCGTCCTCTTTCAGATTCTTTTCAATCTGCTTACTCCTGGCTAACGCCGCCCGCTCCTCCGCCGACATAGCGCACCCCATCTTGCGGCCTGCTGCTTTTACGAACGTGTCGAAAGATTAGAACAACAACACTAAATCCACACTCGGGCCCGCCGAGTGCCTAAGGGCCGATCATAGGGAAACGCGAACCTCCGGGTAACACACTCGATCACAAACACATAACATCACTGCACACACGCGACACAAATCACACAGTTGTCTAATGCGAATGCGAACAATTCTCAGCTCGAACTGCCCATTTCCAGCCAAGCCGGATGCCGACGCGAACAAACGACAAACGCTCCTGTTGACGTGCGACTGCGAAATGAAACCGGGCTGGCGCGGCGCGTCTGCTGCTGCGACGTCAGCGCTACCTGTCTGCTACTGGGAAAACTACAGCTTGGAGGTTACTACTGTTGTCAACAGATCGCTGACGTGAACAGAACAGACCATCGAAGTAGACAGACCATGTGGCGGGAGTTCGGAGTGATTTAAATTTTATAATCTTGCGCTTTTCATGAAAAACAATCTGATTATCATATTTGAACAACTTTGGTGTGGCAGAAACTTGTTTCCATACGCCGGGACGCGGGTGATTTTCTTAATAGGCTACTGCAGCAAAAACAGCCGTTTTTAATGCATGTGTTCTGGTCGAAAGTAGCATTTTTGTGCTTGCCTTACAATTATAGTTGTCATACAGTTAACAGTTACCTGATATAACGTGGGCTGGTTATAGCACGCAAAGTAGCTAATTGCTGCATTTACTTAAACCTACTTTTGTCGTATTCATTTTTTCCACACTCCAGTATTCCAATCAAACAACACAAAACAGTCTGCTTTTATTACGCACTTAATACGTGTAGCTTGAAATTATGTTGGCAACACTATAATTTGGCAGATACTACGCCCAATCAGCTGGTGCAGTATTCCCCATTTCGTTGAAAGTTTGACTATTATCATAGATGATAAAACATATGCTATTATTAATACATACACTAGACATTTCGTTCCCAGTTCACATGTTAAAGTTGTTGTCAGTATTTTAATCAAAATCGTCGTAGTTGATGTGAGCCACCGACAGATTGCGCTGATCTAAATTACCGTACCAAAGTCAAACTAATGGAATGACTTATGACATTGACTAATAAGTTGTTGTATTAATAGTCAAAGCTTATGGTTAGCTATAGCAACTGTTATGACCCATCAACTTGGTCAACAGCAATAAAATAACGTACAAAATAAAATTGTATACCCTAGCGCATTCTGTGACAGGCTCACATAACTATGAATTTGAACTATTTGAATTTGTAGAGTTTGTGATCTCTTTCATCTGCTTTACTTAACTGACGATTCCAATGTACTTTTGTCAAAAGGAAAATAAATAATCTTATTCTCATGTTCTTTTTAAATTAAATACTAGAGGACCCATGCTGCTCCGCAGCGTTAAAATAAATATAATCTAATTTATTATTTTTGATTGAGTAATAGAGTATCTTTGAACTTAACTGGTTTAAACTATCGATAGCTCAAATTAAAGCCTATTATTTATTGATTATTTTGAGTATAAAACACGTAAAAAACATTAACAATACTGGAGCTATTCATTTTTAATCATAGAAAACCCTTATGAAAAATAATTTTTATGTTGGTTGCTAACCATGCGTTTTCTTGAAAACTCGTCCAATTTGAATAGTTAATAAATGAAATCCGGTATTTCACTGAAGGTTCTTACACCAAAATATTTAGGATTATATCATTATAATTTGTGAAATACATCTTAAATTGAAGTATGAAATCGAAAATGAATCAAATTACGTTTTTGGTTGAGTATTACAGTAAGTAAATATATGCCGAAACTTGACAGGGAGCAAATTTGGTTTGGCGTATAAGCCGAGTGGGATAAAGATAAATATATACTGACGCTTGATGGCAAATCTGTGGGTGCATACCTTCAATTTGAGACCTCAATCATGAAAATCGGTCGGGTAGAAGAGCCAAACGAACTCGGAAAAGAAAAACTGAATTTAACTCCCATAAGAAATACATGGGGAGCAAATTTCGTTTGCGTATAAGCCAAGTGGGATTATAGATACATATATGCCGATGCTTGATGGCAAATCTGAGGGTGCACACCTTCAATTTGAGACCTCAATCATGAAAATCAGTCGGGTAAAAGAGCTAAACGAACTCGGAAAAGAAAAACCAAATTTAACTCCCATAAGAAATACATGGGGAGCAAATTTCGTTTGCGTATAAGCCAAGTGGGATTATAGATACATATATGCCGATGCTTGATGGCAGATCTGTGGGTGCATAACCTTAATTTGAGACCTCAATCATGAAAGTCGGTCATGTAAAAGAGCCAAACGAACTCGGAAAAGAAAAACCAAATTTTTTAATATACAAGATTGGCGATAGCTGTTCCACATAGATATGGGATGTCTACTTCAGTGCTACCCTTGAAGATTTCCATCACCAACTGATGCTAGAATGTTTACTGTAGTGCCATTCATATGCCTATATTGCCTTTGCATTTAACATATGTACGTGTTTTAGCGAATTTCCCTTTAGGGAAGTGTAGGTCTCATGGTAGGACCTAGGCCCCGGACCAATTTACTTTTTCATTTTGATGTACCCAGAGGCCAAAAACACTATTCGTTCAAATTTGTATTTATATATATATATATATATACAGTTGAACCTCGTTTGTACGAACCTCGATAAAACGAATTCCTCGATAAGACGAATTTTTTTTAATCCCCTTGACACTTTCATATTGGTCAATGCTAAAAACACCTCTATACAACGTAGTACCTAATTAAGTTAAAAACCTCCATTAGACGAATTTGTTTGTGACATGGGCTAGAACTGATTAACCTCTATACAACGAATATTCTTAGGACAAAACCTCTACAAGACGAACGTGACCTCTATAAGACGAATTTATCATAAGCTTAACCTCCATAGTACGTAGTTTTCAAAACAAACAGAAGCTTGTATCAACATGAAACCCCCACCCATCCCTCCCCCTTCCTCAGTCATTGTTTGGAGAAACCTTGGAGCGAGGAGAAACCTCTATAAGAAGAATAACAGCAGCATTAAACCTCGATAAAACGACCCTCTTTATTAAGAATACCTCTATAGTACGAATTTTTCCCGTACCCCTTGAAATTCGTCTTATAGAGGTTCAACTGTATATATATATATATATATGTGTGTGTCCATCCAGACGATAACTTATAAGTAATTTTTCTACAATTATTTGGTTTGAAGGTGTAAGGCAGGATAAAGTTGAATGAGTTTGTGAACCAGCATGATCGGACCATGAGAACGGGGTATAACAGGGGGTTTTATGAGGTAAAAATGGGTTTTTCTCATTTTATTACCCTTAATACACAAAATTTATCAATTTTTCTCCAGACCTTTTTAAGGAGCTTAAAAAACAATAATTTAGCATATCAAAGTGTTTGTACAGGGATTAGTTAAGGAGAATATTAAAAAAATTGTTAATTTAAAATTTCCATATTATTTTTATGGAGAATATTGCAAAATGTTGTAGTTGGCTTGTTTATGTAAATATTTTGATCAAACTTGGCAGATTTATTTATTTTATACTAAGCTATTTATATTTTAATAAAAAAACACACTTTATTATTTCCCCTGTAGCAGCAAACCTAAGTACTCGTTAAACATACATGTTAATATAATAGATTAATTGAAAATAAATCCAGGCAGGTGGAAATTCGCTTAGTCAGCAGGTTTGCTGTAGCGGGGGTGTTATAATTTAGAGTGTTGTTGTGTGTGATGATGACTCTTGTTGAATAATAATAAATCACATTCTTTACTTGCAACATTCATTAGTATTTTATATTATCTTACATAGTGTCAGGCTGTAAAATAAACAAATAAAACATGCCAAGATCTAACAAGAATACTGCTCGAAAGTCAAAAGGAATAGGACGAGTTTACAAGTGAAGATTCTGGAGATGAGGCAGTTGGTCCATGACATAGAAGTAAGTTTCAAATAGGCTCTGATAAATCTATGAAAATTATTAGTGCCCAATCTAAGCCCGCACCAATAGTGATAGGTCTACAGGCAACACTAAGTGCTCCTGAAGTATTTGATTTCACCAATCCAGCTATGTGGCCTGAACGTTACAGTTACGTTAAATATCATTGGTTTTTTATCTTAGGTAGCCTAAATAAGTATTCACAGTATGAGTAAACAAAAAAGTACTATTACTATTATCAAGTTAAGTAATACAGTTCAATTTCGTTTCTAAAATAAATGGTAGGGAGTGAAACCAATTAGCATTTTCAAAGAACCAGCATTAACTCTTTTGCATACTGACCCCGTTGCAAGGCACGGGTATAGCTGCTAGCAAATACGAATAGTAGCGCTGGTTGCAGTATCACCAGTCAAATTTTTAAGCGACCGGCGCTACTATTTGGGACCGGAGGGATTGATTTATTTAGTATCTTATACCCTATAGCTTAGAGTTATTCATGTATTACCACAAAGTCTTCATTTTACATCAATTACAATTCCATAATACCCCCGTATATCCATAAATAAAGAAATTAAAGAATTTTGTCAGCTTTTCAACTGCGCAAGTTAGTTCTAAGATATTAAATAGCATTAACAGGTTTTAAGGTTTACCTACAGGTTGCAGCACTATTATTTTTTTTTCATTTATGACAACAGCTAATTTGATCCAGCTAGCAAAAAAAAGCTGTGGTACACAAACAGACCTTTACATTTTTCTATGGTTCAGGGGCAGTGGTAGAACAAAAGAACCAAACTTTCTTAAACCATGCCCTCACCCATAACTGCAATAAGCATTTGATACTTATATGCCAACCCCGTACGAAGGACGGGTACTCTGCTAGTATGCCTATAAAAATAACTATTTAGAGGTCGATATGCTGCACACAAAAATCCAACAAATTCTTTTAATAATATAGATTGTCATAAATCTATACAACTGAATCCTAATCTCTACACATGTACCTTAGTTACCTTATCTTAGTCACCTTATCTTAGTTACTTTTCTGTGACTTCAGTGACCGGTAGACACCCTGTATTAAAGAGCACCGTGATACAAACCTGGCTCAAAAAGTGTATTCTAGCCAAAATGGTGACGATTTAAAATACCAACTTGAACTTATCAAAATAAGCTAAGTTATTATTTCTTGTAATTTTAAACCGTGGCTGTTTTGGCTAGGATAAACCTTTTTGGGTTGGGTTTGTGGCGCTGTAATTTCTATATAACGAATCGTAATTCTGTAATGTTGGTCGCTTACAAAAGGAATACAGTAGACCCCCTCTTAACTGACCCTAATGGGATTGGACCTAGGTCGGATAACTCAAAAGGTCGGTTAAATCGGGCAATCCCTAAAATCATAACATGATTAAGTGTTATTAATTTTGAATTATATAATCATTATTTTGAAGTCATACTTCTATTATTTATAAAATAAACTACTCTTATCTCCTTTTTTTCCTATTGATAGAAAAGTCATAAATAAATACTAAACACCGTTAAGTCAAATAGGCCTACTTTAAGTGGAATAAATTAAATTATAGTACTAGGCAAGAGTCAATAAAAATTCCTATTTTAATAACTTTAGTTCTAACCCCCCTTCCCTGCCCTCCCTAAAAGTTGCATTGTTTGTTTACTCTAGCGATAAGATAATCAGTTCTCAAAATCGTAACGCACTTTACAATTTTATAAATTTGCCGCACAGATAACAAATCAGATCAGGATGTGCTTGCACTATAAACGATGATGACAAACTGACAATATGCTATATTTTTTGTGATCAATGCAAAATAATTTATTCTTAGTCACATCCTGTGGAGATAAGCGTATGGTTCGGTTCTCATCGCCCAGCATGGGAGCGGAAATGCCGAGATTCCTAGAAAGCGGCGGTTAAGCCGAACTGCTCTCAAAGCAAGGTCGGTTAAAACAAACTGTGATATTTTACGATGGAAGGCGGATAATCCGATTATCGGTTAATACGAGGTTGGTTAAGAGAGGGTCTACTGTAATATTTAAATTACACAATATGTTTTAAGGTTTTACCAAGAAGTGGCTTAAAAGGGTTAAAAAGAGTGTCAACACGTTATATATAATTTATTACAAACAAATATATTTTGTTAATCCTATGTTAAGATAAATAGTACAAAAGACAACGACTCAAAATAACATTTCCATTGTGATCCAGAAAAAGGAATAGTTTAACATTCCAAATTAAAATATCCAATCCACAAAAATCAAAGCCAACATGAAAATTTTACTATAAATGAATACATATAACAATGAATTAAAATCGTTACATCCAAACCCCTGGAAAATAAAATTCTGTTTGTAAAAACATAGATATGTGAGATCATTCGTAAAATTCTCTCTGAAAACTGCCAAAAGCACAAGCCGGCTCTAAAAAAAAATTAAAACATCAGGTCATGGATTTAATACATTTGTACACGATCTATATAATCAAATATCTATACACAATAAATATTACATAGAGTATCACACCACTTTGAACGGTTACCTTCCTAGTGATTATTGCAACAGTGAACAGGCTACTTACTCAGTGAATCGTATGGCAAATATACGTTAAACAGGTTTTACAACCATTTTATTGTAATCGAAATACAAATTTTTAAGTGACATAAAATAATCAGCAATGTACTTGCTAAGCCCACATCATAACCATGTCCATCCTTCTAGTACGACCTTCTGCATTGGAGGCACTCGTCTTCTGGGGTGGTGACTGCAGCCTTCAAACACAAACCACATTAACACACACACGCACATTTATATTTTATAGTTGAAATGTAGTCAACATCAAAAGGGCATCATGAAAATCAAATCTAATTTAATATTAAACTAATGAACTGTAGAGAACAACATAAATTCAACAGTAATGCAATTTAACTAAACAATTTTATTTCTGTATCTATAGGCTACAATCGTCAAATTTGGATATTTAAATAGACAGGCCATCTATAAAGACCAGCTGAAGCCAATTATTGGTTTAAAAAGAACATAGTTGCATCAGCTCTTACAGAAAGTACTACATTTTAAAAAGATTTTTCTCTTTTAGTTTTTATTCTAATAATTGTAGCAAAACTTTTGTTTCAATCGGAATTTGTTTAAAAGTTGGCGTATTCAGGAAAAAACATCGACAAAATCAATTTACATCTTTGCTCTCTTCTAAATTCAACTACCTTTATTTGTATTTTAAATCCGGTGACAGCAATAACGTGGAAAGCAAGGTCTAGTTCTATCCAGTCAAATAAAATTAAGTTTCAACTAAGAATTTCATCTATCCTCAATGTGGAAACACCTGTGATTGAACGTTATAAAATTGTTTTGTGTGAATAAAATCTGAATGTCTCTAGTTGGGCCTACCTGTTTACCTGTTCTCAGTGCTGCAGTAAGTCGTCTACACAGGTGAAGGCGCAGCTGCCCAGGCCCGCACGGCTCATGGTGGCCACCAGCTCTCTGGCGTGCGCAACTGCTACTTCCAGGGGTGCGCGACGTGGCAGTCCGGCGCGCTCTAGTATGGCACTGTTGAGCGCTGCACACACCGTCTCTCGCTGTACCGGGTCCAGCTGCCAGCCGACTGGACTAGCCCAGGGGTTGGAGTAGGCTAGGAGGCTGAAGGCGTCCTGAACAACAATATAACTGATGGTTATATTTACCTAACAACGTATTAAATATCAAGAGTTTCAATTATGTGGTTTAACCTGTCAATGTACATCCATTTCTCATACAGTAACACTTCTTTTAACAGTGACTTTGGATTTTTGAGGGTGACCAATAACATAGATCGATGGTTAACCGAGGTTCGACTGCAGTTAACATTGTTTAACAAAATATTTCCAACACTAAATTCAGCAGAAGAAAACAGAAATCCTACTTGATATATTATTTGTTTTTAACCTCCACTGACCTTCACTACGCGTCTATTGGTCTATGTGGTAATCTAAGACATAAGAATCACCATAAAATACAACATGTTACATAGGCTAGCCTATAAAAAAGTGCACATGGCTGTTCTCAAACCAACAATGAAGTTATTAGGCCACTGAGTCACCAGTTTTAGTACTATAGAGCAAGCGTAGGCTTCTGGTATGATAATTTACCAATCCAAAAACCTTGTGGCCTGTACAATGCCGGTTCTTAGGGATTAAGCACAAATAATCAAAGGAAAGAAAACTTGTTTGGAATTCTCAACTACAAAAACCATTCTATTAATTATTGATTTAAAAAATACTTAAGTCACAGTAAAAGTTTTTATGATCTTTACTACAAACACATGAAGTTAAAACAAAAAAGTGTGGTAATAGTTCCAAACCATGAGTGATTGTCTGAATGTAAAGTAATTATATGACTAAAAATACTTCAGCAAAAATCTCTTAAATTTCGTTCTTGGGTAAATAACAAAAAGTCAATGCCAGATTCAGATAGTAACAATACCAGGGGTAGGACTGCAAACCTTACAAAATAGCAAAAGCAATTAACCAGTGATGGTCCAATCCAGGAATCTTGAATCTCGAATCCTAATTTGAATCCTAAAAAAATTGAATCTCCAATCTTCGATTTTGAGTCCCAAAAATAATTACAAATGGGCTTTATGGTGATTAAAAAAGCAAGAATGGAATAGGTACCATTCAACGCTTATAACCACCATGACGTCAATAACTTCTATGGTTAGTCAATGTCACAGTACTGTATATTACGACGTCAATAACCTCTATGGTCAGGCAATGTCACAGTACTGTATATTATGACGTCAATAACCTCTATGGTTAGTCAATGTCACAGTACTGTATATTACGACTTCAATAACCTCTATGGTTAGTCAATGTCACAGTACTGTATATTACGACGTCAATAACCTCTATGGTTAGTCAATGTCACAGTACTGTATATTACGACGTCAATAACCTTTGTGGTCAGGCAATGTCACAGTACTGTATGTTACAATGTCAATAACCTTTATGGTCAGGCAATGTCACAGTACTGTATATTACGACGTCAATAACCTTTATGGTCAGGCAATGTCACAGTACTGTATGTTACAATGTCAATAACCTTTATGGTCAGGCAATGTCACAGTACTGTATATTACGAGGTCAATAACCTTTATGGTCAGGCAATGTCACAGTACTGTATATTACGACGTCAATAACCTTTATGGTCAGGCAATGTCACAGTACTGTATATTACGACGTCAATAACCTTTATGGTCAGGCAATGTCACAGTACTGTATATTACGACGTCAATAACCTCTATGGTTAGTCAATGTCACAGTACTGTATATTACGACGTCAATAACCTCTATGGTTAGTCAATGTCACAGTACTGAATATTACGACGTCAATAACCTCTATGGTTAGTCAATGTCACATTACTGTATATTACGACGTCAATAACCTCTATGGTTAGTCAATGTCACAGTACTGTATATTACGACGTCAATAACCTCTATGGTTAGTCAATGTCACAGTACTGTATATTACGACGTCAATAACCTTTATGGTCAGGCAATGTCACAGTATTGTATGTTACAATGTCAATAACCTTTATGGTCAGGCAATGTCACAGTACTGTATATTACGACATCAATAACCTCTATGGTTAGTCAATGTCACAGTACTGTATATTACGACGTCAATAACCTCTATGGTTAGTCAATGTCACAGTACTGTATATTACGACGTCAATAACCTTTATAGTCAGGCAATGTCACAGTACTGTATGTCAGATCCAGATAATAACAACACCAGGGGTAGGACTGCAAACCTTACAAAATAGCAAAAGCAATTAACCAGTGATGGTCCAATCCAGGAATCTTAAATCTCGAATCCTAATTTGAATCCTAAAAAATTGAATCTCCAATCTTCGATTTTGAGTCCCAAAAATAATTACAAATGGGCTTTATGGTGATTAAAAAAGCAAGAATGGAATAGGTACCATTCAACGCTTATAACCACCATGACGTCAATAACTTCTATGGTTAGTCAATGTCACAGTACTGTATATTACGACGTCAATAACCTCTATGGTTAGTCAATGTCACAGTACTGTATATTACGACGTCAATAACCTCTATGGTCAGGCAATGTCACAGTACTGTATATTACGACGTCAATAACCTCTATGGTTAGTCAATGTCACAGTACTGTATATTACGACGTCAATAACCTCTATGGTTAGTCAATGTCACAGTACTGTATATTACGACGTCAATAACCTCTATGGTTAGTCAATGTCACAGTACTGTATATTACGACGTCAATAACCTTTATGGTCAGGCAATGTCACAGTACTGTATGTTACAATGTCAATAACCTTTTATGGTCAGGCAATGTCACAGTACTGTATATTACGACGTCAATAACCTCTATGGTTAGTCAATGTCACAGTACTGTATATTACGACGTCAATAACCTCTATGGTTAGTCAATGTCACAGTACTGTATATTACGACGTCAATAACCTTTATGGTCAGGCAAAGTCACAGTACTGTATATTACGACGTCAATAACCTCTATGGTTAGTCAATGTCACATTACTGTATATTACGACGTCAATAACCTCTATGGTTAGTCAATGTCACAGTACTGTATATTACGACGTCAATAACCTCTATGGTTAGTCAATGTCACAGTACTGTATATTACGACGTCAATAACCTTTATGGTCAGGCAATGTCACAGTATTGTATGTTACAATGTCAATAACCTTTATGGTCAGGCAATGTCACAGTACTGTATATTACGACATCAATAACCTCTATGGTTAGTCAATGTCACAGTACTGTATATTACGACGTCAATAACCTCTATGGTTAGTCAATGTCACAGTACTGTATATTACGACGTCAATAACCTTTATAGTCAGGCAATGTCACAGTACTGTATGTCAGATCCAGATAATAACAACACCAGGGGTAGGACTGCAAACCTTACAAAATAGCAAAAGCAATTAACCAGTGATGGTCCAATCCAGGAATCTTAAATCTCGAATCCTAATTTGAATCCTAAAAAATTGAATCTCCAATCTTCGATTTTGAGTCCCAAAAACAATTACAAATGGGCTTTATGGTGATTAAAAAAGCAAGAATGGAATAGGTACCATTCAACGCTTATAACCACCATGACGTCAATAACTTCTATGGTTAGTCAATGTCAGAGTACTGTATATTACGACGTCAATAACCTCTATGGTTAGTCAATGTCACAGTACTGTATATTACGACGTCAATAACCTCTATGGTCAGGCAATGTCACAGTACTGTATATTACGACGTCAATAACCTCTATGGTTAGTCAATGTCACAGTACTGTATATTACGACGTCAATAACCTCTATGGTTAGTCAATGTCACAGTACTGTATATTACGACGTCAATAACCTCTATGGTTAGTCAATGTCACAGTACTGTATATTACGACGTCAATAACCTTTATGGTCAGGCAATGTCACAGTACTGTATGTTACAATGTCAATAACCTTTTATGGTCAGGCAATGTCACAGTACTGTATATTACGACGTCAATAACCTCTATGGTTAGTCAATGTCACAGTACTGTATATTACGACGTCAATAACCTCTATGGTTAGTCAATGTCACAGTACTGTATATTACGACGTCAATAACCTTTATGGTCAGGCAATGTCACAGTACTGTATATTACGACGTCAATAACCTCTATGGTTAGTCAATGTCACAGTACTGTATATTACGACGTCAATAACCTTTATGGTCAGGCAATGTCACAGTATTGTATGTTACAATGTCAATAACCTTTATGGTCAGGCAATGTCACAGTACTGTATATTACGACGTCAATAACCTTTATGGTCAGGCAATGTCACAGTATTGTATGTTACAATGTCAATAACCTTTATGGTCAGGCAATGTCACAGTACTGTATATTACGACATCAATAACCTTTATGGTCAGGCAATGTCACAGTACTGTATATTACGACGTCAATAACCTTTATGGTCAGGCAATGTCACAGTACTGTATATTACGACGTCAATAACCTCTATGGTTAAGCAATGTCACAGTATAGGCCTATGTCCAGGGCCGGATTTCCCAATAGGCCCGGTAGGCCCGGGCCTATGGGCGCATGGTGCCAGAGGGCGCACGGCCGAGAGTAAATTTTTTTTATACCTAGGTGCTCTAAAATAAAAAGTCATAGTTGATAAAAAAAAAAAACTCCTAAGCATTGTGATTCAGAATTTCATAAGAACAAATAATTGTTAGGATATTTAAACTATTTTCAGAATTAGGCCTACACATCAATTTCATTACAAAATTGGTAAAGATTAAAGAACATTGGTTATACGGGAGTAGGCTCTAGGGATGTTGACGATGACGAGCGCCCAAAGGGGTATGCTGGCTCGGGCTCGGTACCACTGATCAGAGTGATTAGGGGCTCATGCGTGCTAGACATTGTTAGCACTCTCACCTCAAAAGTTAAGTCTTTTGATTAGTTTACAACAATCTGCAGGAACAAGTTAAAATATACAATAAGTTGTGTTGAATATTAAAACAACGATGTATTTCCGAAAAATTATTAATATCAGTTTGCATTAGATTTTAGATTAATTTTTCTTAAACATTCCTCCAAAACATCAGATACCCTCCAAAACATCAGTAATGCTGTCATTTTCTCCTCAGACCTAAGTAAGGTCGGTACGGATGGCCGGAATATTGCTCTGTTTTGCTTTGGAAACATAACCTAGATGCAGTACGACCATAGATTAAATGAGTATGTTTTATCTATGATTAAATATTACTCAAGTCGACTTCTTATGACATTGTTAATTAAAAATATTTTCATGTCTAGTTCATGTTGGTGACACTGGACGTTAGTTTTGACGTAATTTTGTTTCTATTATTTTAGGGTAAGTTCTATGATGTGTGTTTCAATTTCTAGTAAAATAAACAGGATGCCATCTATTTTTTATAATGATTACAGTAGATCGTTTTATTTTGGATAAACTAGGTTTAAACATAGATAAAACATACTCCTTAAACAAAATAACAAGAATTGTTTTCAGCTAATCCAAAATGATGACAAATCTACTAAAGGAGTAGGTTTAATCTATGGTATGACGTACTGTATGGAGTTCATGTTTTTTGGGCCTAGAATTGGAATCAATGGCCATGTTTTTTTGCAGGAATGCTCGGGTGGTTGAGTTTTTTGTTTCAGTCCCACCACGGCCACAAACGTGAGCATTTATTAAAAGCATAAAATTGCTAAAAGTGTTTAAGACGGCATTTTGTTAAGGCTAAACAAGTCAATTCTAAAAAAAAACTTGCTCTGATTCCAAAGAGGAGTGTTATTCAAGCAGTTAACTTAGGCCTATGGGAATTATATAGTTTTTAATAAAGGTTTGAAGAAATGTGACCAGACTAGGGGGCGGAAAATTATTTGGGCCTAGGGGCGCAAAAATGTTAAATCCGGCCCTGCCTATGTCTTATAATTCTATTCTAAAAAAAAATTTCTTGTCTTGTTAATTGAATCTTGAATCCGAATCTTTTCTTAGGATTCGGTGGATTCGAGATTCGGATTTTACACATCCCTACAATTAACGCCAACAACATAGAACAAGACGCAATAAACAAATTATGTATATTTACAACTAACTAACAATGTACAGCATTGTAACCATACAACTAATATTAACGTGCCTGTAACATCTTCTTGTTGTTCTCGTCTTTGCCCTGTTCCTGCATCAGTCGCTGACTCATGTGGTAGAGTCCTCGGCCGAACTCCAGCATCCTCTCAACCGCAGACTTACTGCCTCCACACAACTGTCTACGACTGGACGGAGGATCCACATCTGGCAACAACATGACCAGGTACTTAAGTTTATTCACAGAGGGAACTTGATTATTTGAAGACTGTGCGCTTTTAGATCTGGTATTTTGGGCGTTCACGTTGGGGCAATATACTTGTGAGTCAAGACAAGCAAGGAAGAACCCGGGTGGTGAGGACTGTACAAAAATATTATTTGCAAAAGGCAAAGGACCTTCCTCTAGCGTGAGAGTTTTAGTATGTGATGGAGAGTTGAGAAAGGAGTGTGAGTGGGGTTAGAAGCGACTAGTGCTAGACTACAAAACCCCCTTTGTGCATCATTAAAGGTTCCCCGTGTTCCTTGTGTGCCACACAAGTTAGCAGCTCAGCAATCTCTCGTCAACAACTTGTCTATTCTTAATGTTCATGATGGTTACCAATTCCAAAGTCTTTAGAGATTGATTGTGGTGCAATTATGATTATCTACTGCAATCGCATTACACCACTGAATTTTTGATAATGTTAACTTTAAAAAAGTCTTTATCAAACTTTAATAACTAGAAACTTTAAAAAGTAAAAAAGTTGATTATGATAATTAAACATGTTTCCTGTCCAGTGGAGTTTGAAATTAATTTTAAAAAAATGATTTGATAACCTCCCCTCTAGCGTATATAAACCTCTCTATGACTAGAAACAAATCTAGAAACAAATTAGCTGAATACTATTCTCTAAAAAATTCCTTAACAAAATTCACTACTACATCATGGTAGACCATACATACAGAGGAGTGGGAGGGTTGGGAGAGAATGTAATAACATGAAAATTGGTAGTGTTGTTGTGGAAAACAAAAATAAATAACAAAAATGTAACAAACAATGTAACTACTGATGCAATTTCCACTCACCCATGTCTTCTACCGCATCCTCGTGTGACGTACCATTCTGGTAACCATTGGTGTGGCCGTTCCTCTCTTCCGACGGTGAAGTTTCCATTTCTATGTCGTCGTTTGACTCCTCCTCTGTTTTTATTTTGATACCATTCTGTTCACCTTCTGTGCTTCCGTTGACACTCCCTATTGAGTTTTGTAAATTCATTTCTTCTACACTGTCCTTAACACGATTACTGAAACAAAAACAAGTCCCAATAATTATTCAATCTACAAGAGCCATGTTTTCAATGACTCCAACAAGCCTTCTGTTCTACAAAATGATTATTCGGATGATTTACTCAGATCGAATCATTCAATGAAATAAGAGTTTAGACTACATCAATCTGTATTCCTGGTTGCAGTTTTCCTGTCATTTAATCGTTTGAATGTACTCTTTTATCGTTTTACAGTTTTGTTTGCATGTGTCTGTCTACATGTTAAGTGTACTGTGAAACAACAACCTTCTGATCAAGCGATTGGCATTCTTAAACCCAAAAGTGCAATCTGTGACTGGCTCACACAACAATTTTCTTTATCAACTTCACTCCTGGATGTCTGAATTTATTATTCTGCAGTCACTACTGGCTTTAAGCTTTAAGCTTTGTGACGTGAATGCAGCCTGGTGATATTGGATCAGGAAAAGCTGGGCCCAGTTTCGAGCCATCAAAAAGCTACTGACTTTTCTCAAGATCGAACCGGTAACCTTTTGATTGCTAGGCGAGTACTACTATAACCACTCAGGTACCCAGCCAGTCAATTTTTAGACAACACCCACCTACTACTGTTACTGCCGTTGTACACCTTGGTGGATTGTATCACCGAGGGAGCGGTGGGGGAAGGGGAGAAGTGCGACCGAGATGAACACCGCACCTCCGAGTCAGAACCGTTCACCATCTCCACAAACTGGCGACACTTGAGCATAAACAGCAAGTTGAGGTTATGTTCCAGAAGGCCGGGGTAGAGTCTGGTCGTAGTGTCTATAGCCTCACCCATCCGGCCAGCCAACACCAGCTTAAGGATTCCTGGAAACAAGTATGTTTTAGAAAAACTATTACATGACTTCTATTTTAAGTTACCATTCACTGCAGCTCATCAAGCACCTCAAGCTTGATGCCACTTAAGGCATGAAATAGGATGCATTAAAAGCACCCAATGTGCCTAACGTACCCAGTAATAAGGTTCTACACATATTAAATTAATCAGTCAGAGTAGTTAGTTGGTTAACAAAGATTGAACACAGAAGAGAATAAATTTAATTATTTAAATATACTATAGAACAATAGAACACAGTTATTTGCTGTTTATAGCTATCTGAAAATAAAGAGTTTTTTAGGGAGTTCAGCTAGCTTACCTTGTAAATTTAGAGTTCATGGTCTAATAAATACACATGCAAATGTCACATAACATAACATTAATACTTCAATATTCTGGACTTATTTTTCGATAGTAGAATGAATCTACTCAATCTACTCTCTGTAGAACATCTCGAACAAAAAAGATCTTTTGAAATAGCCTAGTAGATCTTGTGCCAACATGAGACAATTTTATCATCAAACATAAACCAGAATTATGCTAATAATGTCAAAAGTATGGATATCATAAGGAGGTGGACAAGGAGGTAAGGATCATCAAGGGTTAAGACCAGTTGAAAACATCAGCTTCAAGTCGGGGACTGTGCTGACTTGAAAGTGAAGGAAGAAATTTGATGTATCAAAAGCACTACTCTAAGACTTATAATTGTATAGATAGAAAACTCAACATGCTTCGTTTACTTAGCACTACTTAACAATTTAAAATTTTTAAGCCCCATCTTAATCTTTGAGGATCACAGTTCCAACTCACTTTGTCTGTTTTTTATAGATGTGATTTCTTCGTCGAAAACTTGCCCTGTTCCGTTGGCAAAAGCTTCAGCTGTGGCACAATAACCGTGGTGAACCAAATATGTGGAAACCATCCTAAAAAAAAACAATGCACTAGAGTAAATTTTTGAAATAAGTTTAAATTTAAAACAGATTTTTCATGTATATGTTGTACTATCAATAATTAAAATCATTATTTAATTTTACCCCCATTTATTTTGTTGACATTTACACACCAAAGTTTTAGTAACAACTATCCTACTTCAGTCAACAACAAAAGTGTTAGGCCAACCAAAGGACCAATTGCATTCCATCATGTATCAAGCAATGTTTGTATTTAGTACTCAGTCAAATATAGGTGTCAATCTATAGGGTCTAAATCAAAATTCCAAGAATGCATTTTTTACCAAAAACCATTCCTGCCACATCTGTTAATTTTTAAATTGCAAATTATCAAGTTAAATTAATTTATAAAATGTGTCTCTTCCTTGTTAACGTACAAACCTGTTAAACAAAGTGTTCTTTATTTTTACAGAACCAAGTCTTTGGCACTTGACTTATGGAACATCTTTTATATCTTCATTGGAATAAAGATTCAGTTCAACTCATCTGTGGCTATTGTATTTGTAGATGGTTAATAGCTACGGTATAGTTGCACTTAAGTTCTAGTGTTCCCCTTCAGGTTAGAAGATCACTGGTTTGGTTCCAAACAAGATCAATTTAGGACGAAGTTGCCGTTTTAAATGGACTATCAATTTAAGAGAAAAATATTTTAATGCAAATAGCTTAGATCAAAACAAAATACAAATATAAAAAAGTGTCACCTACTTGTGCAGTATAGCCTGCCATTCGCCCTGGCTGGAGGGAACAGGGTAGTTGTGTATTGTGGTACGGATACGGGACCGCAGCTCCTTCATCATGTCTTCTATGTCAAAAACAAACGGAGCCTGACCGAAGTTGGCGTCCACCACCTCGCCTGGAGTCTGTAGTCCTACTGTCGGGTACAGGTTAGGCTGCAACGAAATTCACTATCATTTATTGCATCCAGGACAGAATTGACTACGATAGATTAGGTTACATATCTTGTCGTTGTCAATGCACTGTTTGCGACAGTGCATATTTATTATTAATAAATCTTAGACAAATGTATAGCACATGTTGTCAAAAGTAATGTTTTTAAACATTTAACATTTAGCCTACTATAAGGACGTGAAATCACTAATAACAATTCCATTTTGTAATTTTTCTGTCCTTCAGTAGTTTTACAAAATATGTTACATTAACATTAATCAGTATAGCAAGAAGTTGTGAAAAAGCCCTAAAAGTTCTCAAATCCATTTCTTAGCGAGTCTGTACATTTCTTTCCTAGGATGACTTACAGAACACAGTGTTTAAAAGTTTAATTCTGTGTTTAATGCTTAGAACCCAAGATCAGAAGGTAAATTAGTTAGAGGACCAGGGGGGCATTTGTTTAGGATTTGAAGGTAAAATAACTAAAATAAAGATATGATGTGTAGTTTTTATAGAGTGAAAAAGAAAATTTTGTTCCTATATTAACATTTTGCTATGTAATTTACCACCAAAAATTGAAAAATAGATAAAACTCATTTACATTGGACCTCTGTGGCCTATCAAACTTCAGCTCTGGAACCTTTGTTTGGCATCAAACTTCCAGACATCACTTTTTCTGGCTGCTTCTGAGAATCCCAAAATAAAATTAGTGTCCGACTGTTTGCTACGAAAAGTCCATTTCAGCACTTTTTACGATTAATGTATTTCCTCTGTAGCCCAATACATCTATTTACAAACCATCTGTCTCGAGTACACTTCAGCTTCGATTCAGTTGAGTAGGTAGTGTCTAAACAGGCTTTACTAACTTTGGTATTGTCAAGTAGCTTTATCATGTGTTTTACCAACCTGAAATTTTGATCTCTTTTTAAGGGAACACTTATTAATTGTGGATGAATTGCCTTGGTTGGTGTACCTGAATTAGGCTTGATACCGAGAAGGCTGGGTTAGGAGGGTTCTATTGTAGTTGTTTCAAAATGTACATTGAGGTATGTTATCTATAAATAACACTCACAGGCAGATCTGTGAAGGCGATGCCCAAGTTGTGTCCGTTCTTGGTGTAAAAGCAGGTGTTATCTATTAGGTTGACTCCACAACCGATGACGTCGCCTGTGGTGAAGGTAGGTCCGTACGGTTGTCCTGTACCAGACGAGCAAAACGAATGTCCGTCGTCTCCGTGATAACCATACGAGTGTTTGTCCCAACCTGGATCACAGAGATTCATTAGGATCATTGTAAATTTTACAGTTTGGTTAAACAAAATTTCCCCTAAGGATAAAATTGTAATAAATAAAACTGCAACCCTATTCACATCAAGGGTTATACATTGATTCAATTAGATAAAAAAAACTTTGACTGAGGATAGAAGTTGATCTAAAATAAACCTTATATCTGACCTTGTAAACATCAAAGAGACTATACCACCACAGCTGTTCGGTATTCATATTTTTAGAGTATTTAGAAATTAATCATTATGTTAATTAAGTCACTGGTTAATTAATCATGCTAATGTGTATATAAATCACCACATTTATTGTAATATTATTTAGTCTCAGTAACAATTTATTGTAAATAGACTCCCGCTTTCAATATTCAAATGAGATTGCTAAGCCTGCTCGAATTTCCCGCCACAGTAAGGCCTATTTTCCTGTACTACATACCCATGAATCACCTGACGCCGTGTTTGCTTCAATCGCATTTCCTATTGGCCATCGAATTCCTAGACCCCTCTAAACCGCAATTGCATTTTTCAAAGTGTGAAGCCGGCGATCGGGGTCTGTCTGTCCACGGTCGGCGTCCATAACTCACGGTGTATTCCGTTTCTCGTATCTCGGGACATTAATTGCCCATTTTACCTCTCTTAAACGTATTTTTAGGCTATAGATTAATTATATCTGGCCTCCCTCTCCTCTATAGTACATTTAACTATATATACATTTTAATTTCCCCCTTTTGTTTGTGATTAAATTACTTAAATTGTGATCTAGTGCTTTCAGACTCTTCAAACCTCAAGACAGTGTGTGCGCGTCCGTGTATTACTTCTAGACTTTCCGTACGTTTTCACCGCGACTTCCGCGTATTAGTGAGCTCTTTGTGATTATGAACTTGGGTGCGTTGCGTTCTCCAAAATTCTACAAAACAGAAGCACTCGGTCTAAGGACTCCGCCATCCGCCATCGCTCCACCATAGACGACGCCGCTGCCATATTCTCCACCTTTGGATAATTGGACTCAAGGTACAACCTTAAAGTTTTGTGTGTGTTTTAATTAGACTCTAAAACTAATCTCATTTGCCCCTCACAAGACATTTTATTCCATCTCGGGACCTCAGTGCCCTTCAAATTGCAGATTCGCCATTTTCTCTAATTTAATTATTTTTCTCTTGAACTATTAATTAGTTCTGGTCCTTCGAGTTATTAATTATTTTCATTTTCACCCATTACGCCCCCAACAACAGCATATTATAAAGCTTAATAGGCCTACCGGTACACACAATTTTGCTATGTGAATAAATTATTTTGAGGTGGAAATTGTAGTCCTCTATTATATGCGATTCAATATTTTTGATATCATTGACGATAAATACTAAGATGACAAAGGTGAAATGTTAACAAAAAAAATCTTACCCTACAACAACACTTCAAATTATTATCTTTCTAACAAAACAATTGAAACATATGACTTTTAATTTATTTGAATAAGTAAACAGTCTTTTAGCAAACTTACAGTGAAATATATATTGAGGTTTTTAATAAATCATTACTTTGGTAAAATCTACGTACTACGTACTACCTGGTACGGTACGTCAATCATTAGCTTAACAAATTGTGTTTCACTTTTTCGAATGGGTAGCCTCCGGATTATCAAGATACAATTAAAGTGGTTTAAATATCTGTAATGTTGATAATCCAATCGGTTTTGAAACACCGACCGATCGGTTGTCTCTGAGACATAAACTCCCGCCAGCAAATCGTTAAAGCTAGGCCTAGGCATGCGTGTTACGTGTTTTAAATGTTTTTATGTTTTGTAATTTGTGAACTTTGACGACCTACGGAAGAAGTGACAATGTCCTTGGGAAAACCTGAAGAAGGCTCCATTGTGAGCTGAAACTAGTTGTTTCACAGCCGATTGGATTATCAACATTACAGGTATTTATACCACTTTAAATTGTGTTTCATTAAAAAAAACAAAGTCCATTGACATCGGCCTAAAGTGTCTTTTTCCACCCTCCGTCCTCAAAATGACGCTAATGTCAAAGAGACACTTCAGCCTTAGAGGAAAAGTACATATTTTCTACACAACCAAATATTGATTTTTAAATTTTTCTGTGTGTCTATGATAGAGGTGACTTACCGGGTAGTCTATTCATGTTGACACCATGGGCAGACAAGCCGATGCCCATGTAGCCATCTCGTCCCTTGCTGACTATTTTTACCTCAAAGTAGTACAGTCCACATGATGCAGGTATGGGGTTTGTGGCTCTGACACTGGCCGCGTCCTTGTGTGTCTTACCGTGACCTGAAACACAATTTGTTTTTAAATACAGTTTTTTAATAAAGCTATGATAAAACAAATGAAAGGGAGTGGATGGAAGAAGACCCCATGGATGATTGATGTGGTTATTTGGTGAATCTTTGGACATCGCGCCCAAGGCAGCGATGTCGTGGGTTCAGATCATTATTATAATATTATATCATGGGTCAGGTGAATCGCAGGGAAGATCTACTCATACTGTTAGAACGATATTTGCCTGTCGACGTGCAGAATCCCTTATTAATTTAACATAGGATGAAAAATAAGCACAAAAATGTACTTAAAATTAAAAAAATAATTAACATGGGTCTTATGGGTTGCCATGCTGGTGACAAAATAACTACGAAATATAAACAAAAAATCAAAACAAATGGAAGAAATTCCAATCACATGTTTCATTTAAAGTGTGGGGTGAAAACAGAGAAGTCTGTACATTACATTTTCGGTCGCGTTTTCAACCACTGGACGACCTCTAGTAAATAAAATTATTGCACTTGTATTATTGGTACCTATTTTAATATTAATTATTGTGTTTTCATTATTGTACTGTGTGTTAATTTTTAAATGTTATTGATTTTTAATTGTTAATAATTGTTATCAATTAATATAAATTTCTCTATTAAATTATTAATGTTGCCATCATAATATTTACTTTGTCGCCAAACTATTTGACTCAAAATTATGTTTCTTGCCATTTCTTTTGTAAAACTTGTATTTATGTTGGATCACTGTTAATTACTTTTATTATATTTGTTTTATTTTTTGTACTAGTTGTATAATTTGTTGTTCCTCTATGTATTGGTATGCTGTTGAAAGAAGAAAGTGGGCAGCAAGTGACAAGATGGCAGATTTGGGTGGCATCTCGCATCTGGCACGATTGTCAATGGCACGTCACCTTATCAAAACGGCACACTCCCTCAAATTAGTCGCAAAACCAAACTGAAATCACGTTAACATTTTTACACAATTGCGTCAGGACGTTATTCACCGATCCTCGCAGTAAATAAATGAGTGAAAATTCAGCCACCCGTGTCAAGGTTCGCTATTTAGGCCCGAAAGAGAAAGGTAGGTAGTAATTGGCAAAGTTGCAGAAGAGTTGAAGAAACATTGCAGAAACGTAATGGACGTAGGTGGTTAATTGGCGATCACATCACAAAGAATGGTTTAATTGGCTCGTCAAGATGTATCATGGAAACAGAGGAGAGGGGAGAGGGAGTTACAAAACTAAACACCACAGGGGGAAAAGTCAACAGAGCAGAGCGACAACACTACAGGCAGAGGTTGCCTAGTTCAGTGGTCATATACGAATCATTCGACCTTTCTCTAAATATGTTGTTCCGAATTAGAGCGATTATCAAACGCTCGTACAAAAGAACAATATTATGTCAACGCCAATAAAGATGATCAATTGATTGTACAAAGTATAGAAAATGAAATTTTATTATAAGAGAGCATAGAAAACATGAAGTTATTGTTGGCTAAGTGTTGACTGTCGTACATCATAATTATGGTAAATTAAAAAAAAAAACTTTTATATTGCAAATTTTAAGTAATTTTCACTAGGGATGTCACTCATGAGAGGAGGCGTATTTTCGGGATTCTCAATTTGACATCAATATACGCTAGTATTAGTCTACTTTGCACGATTTGTAAAAGGACTCACACTCTGTTCAACACTTTTCAAAAAGGTACTGCGAGTTGTTGTATGCTTACAAAGAAAATTATTTTTGCAAAGATGTTCACGTCATCACCTAATCAAGGGGTGAGTTTTTTGTAAATTGCAATAGATGTAGTTGTCCAAGCTTAAAAAAAATTAATTCAAGAAATGTTCTATTTCATTTTGTAAGATATAAAACAACCAAATGGCCAATGTTGATCGAATACAGAAAACAGAATTGAAAAGACACATTTAAATATAAAAACCCCCCATAATGTGCTTAGAGTTACGGTCATGACCGAACAGCAGTGACACGCGTACTATCCTAACGCTGAACGCGACATCGATCTATCCGAACACAACATCCACAATCCACATTCAAGTAGCGAGCGAGTAGAGCGAGTAGTCTGCGCAGGCGCTCGGGGCCACTCTTCACTTCACTCATCAGCCCTCTCCGCAGCAACAGCAGGTTCTTGTAGCTAACGGTACAAGAGCGTACTGTGCTTCCGTGCGCGTGCGGTCAGTGACGAATCACGGGGAATTCACTACACTAGTATTCTGACGAGCTATCCTACAATCAGTATTGGTGTACACAATCCCTCTCAATTCAATTCGGTAATTTAAAAATCCCCACATCACGTCACTACAAAATAATCAATGTTATTTTCTTTTATTGTTGACGATTCTAAGATTCTATCACGGTAGGCTCTAGCTTAAGAACCATTTCACGTAGGCCTAGACCGGCTCGAAACATTAAAGATAAAATATATTGGTGATTGGCGGGATTTGAATCCAGAACCTCGGGCACCGCAGCATACGCTCTACCACTAAACCAACTCGCTTCCCAAGCGTCCAATCGTTAACGTTACTGTGTCATTGTTTTTGTGTGAAAACGCAAGAAATAAGATAGTTTCCCAAACTGTCTTTCTATACCTAACAATAAAATAATAAATTCCAATCAGTAACCTAGTAGCAATTGAATACAATAATATTGGTGCATTTATATAAGTTTGGACACGATTACCATTGAGAGAGGACTGACCTACTCCGGTAGCCTTGGCACCGTTTGTCTTATCACTAGACACTACCTTAGCTGAACACGAATCATTACAACTTCACTGTGTATCACACAATAACTCGGCCGAGGATGCATGAGACTTCTACTTCAAGGGCGACTACTAGTCCGTTTCAAAAAGCAATATACTCGAGTTTGAACCTTTGCTACAAAGTTATTAGTGATCCGATTCTTACCGTTTATGCATGAAAATTTAGTTTTTTTAATTCTACGTTACGTCATATAAGTTAAAAAATTTTCCAAAATCTTTGAAAATTTTTGTTATTGGCGTAGTGTAAAAAAACACGGGTTTTAGGGGGTGCGTAAATATATTTTGACTTTAAAAATTCATACAAAGAAAACTATAAACTGCAGGACTTTGAAACTTTTATACAATGTTATTTGGTAACTTATCAACATTACACGTGATTTTCAGAATTTTGTCTTTGATAAAAAAAAAGTTCTTGTAACTTTTGTAAACCCTTGCTATCTTTTGATTGCTTGGTCGTATAAACTTCCAACAAGGTGCAAATTAAACCGGCGATAACGTAACAATTGAAAATATGAATTGATTTATGTACACTTCACTCTCTGATTTTATATAGATTGATAAATCAAATGTGGTCAGTGTGTAGCGGCGCGTAAGTAACGAGCGCCATTTCTCCCCGTTGGGACAGACTCGGGGAAAAATGCGGGACTCGAGAAGCAGCAGAACGCGCTATGTGGACACGTCATGCAACCCCATATAGTTTAAGCGTGAGTCACTCAAACTACAGTTTGAACATGAATCACTCATACTATTAGAAATGACATTTGGCCTGCTAATTTTGACGAGTGAACATCGCTTCTCAAGATGCCCGCGCCTTTCTCAGAGAGAGAGATTTCTATGATACTCAGTGCGATTGTCTTTTTTAGACTCGAGGGTGAAAAGTTAAACGATAAGAGGTATCCGGTTAACCAAAAAGTCCACGAATGTTTAGGAATACCGCTGATTACGGTCAAGAAGTATAGTGCCAGCATGAAGGAAAACCGCGAGAACGAACCTTCGCCAACGACATCAAGAAAGAAGCAATGTGTTCAACGTGGAAGACCGAAAATTGAACTCGACCACTTCACTCTGTGTGTGATAGAAGAACAATTTTTGATTTTTATATGAGAAAAGTGTTCCCTACAATTGAATCTCTTTTGGCATCTCTAAGGGAGAATATGCCAGATTTTCCCGACATCTCCAAGACTACGTTGTATAGAAGAGTAAGGAAACTTGGATTTCGATACAGAAAGTTAAATAAGAAACCAGTACTCATGGAATCTCACTCTGTTGCTGCTTCTAGACGGACCTATTTACAAGAAGTAAAACATCTTCGCTCCAGTGGATACAATTTATTCTACACAGACGAAACTTGGTGTGGGCAAAACCACACTTTGAGGCATGCATGGCAGGAGTCAGTTCTTGATTCATTGAACAACGAATTCACTAACTTTGACCAATACCGGGCTCACATTCAAGAGATTTTTGGTTGGAGGGGTGGATTTAAAACACCATCAGGAGCCGGGAAGAGAATAATAATACTCCACATCGGCAACAAAGATGGTTTTCTTCCTGGAGCAGAGTTGTGTTTCGTCGGAAAAAAAGGGACAAGTGATTACCATAATGAAATGAACGCTCGTCACTACGCTGAGTGGTTTACAAATGTGTTACATTTGTTACCTGAAAGGTCCGCAATCGTCATCGATCAAGCGCCTTACCATACCATGGTAGATCCAGAAACAAGGAACCCAAATATGTCCTGGAAGAGAGCGGAAATAATGGACTGGATCGTAAAGAAGAATGTTCCACTTCCTTTAGGACCACACACGATTGAGCGATTCACCAAAGCACAATTAATTGTTCATGCTACGCCTTACTTTGGAACTCCAGAAAAAATAGTTGATCAACTGATTAGGGAACACCGACCCGATGTTAAACTTGTTTGGCTTCCAGTAGCGCACTGCGAACTGAATCCAATTGAACTTATATGGGCGTATGTGAAATCGAAAGTGGCAAAAGTAAATATCGCCAATGCTGCCGAAAAAGGAAGAAGTATGGAGGTAGTGAAAACTCTGTGTGAAGAAGCTCTTCGTTCAGTGACCCCACAGCTGTGGAAGAAATGTATTTCACATACGGACAAGATTGAAGCCGGGTACTGGGAGAAAGACGGACTGACAGAGCACATTTATGAGGTCCAGCCTTTAATAATTGACAATCCAGATGTGACTGATTCGTCCGAAGAAAGC